CTGATGCTGCTGATGGTGCTGCTGCTGCTGATGGTGCGGCTGCTGATGCTGCTGCTGCTGCTGATGGTGCTGATGCTGATGCTGCTGCTGCTGCTGATGGTGCGGCTGCTGATGGTGGTGGTGGTGCTGCTGCTGCTGATGCTGCTGATGGTGGTGCTGCTGCTGCTGCTGGTGGTGGTGCTGCTGCTGCTGCTGGTGGTGGTGGTGCTGATGGTGGTGGTGGTGCTGCTGCTGCTGCTGCTGTTGCTGCTGCTGCTGCTGCTGCTGTGGATGCTGCTGGTGCTGATGGTGTTGCTGCTGGTGGTAGTGGTGGTGGTAGTGGTGGTGGTGCTGCTGCTGTTGCTGCTGCTGCTGGTGTATCTGTTGTTTATTGTTGTTGTTGTTGCTGCTGTTTGCTGTTGCTGCTGCTGCTGCTGCTGCTGCTGTTTGAGTTGCTGCTGCTGCTTGTGCTGCTGTTAGTGCTGGTGTTATTCTTGCTGCTGCTGCTGCTGCTGCTGCTGCTGCTGCTGCTGCTGCAGGTGTCATGTTTAGTTTTGTCTTTTCTTTTTTTTTTTTTTAATTTTCTTGTGAGCTGCGTTTTTTTTTGCTTTTGTTTTTTGTTTTTTTGTTTTTTTTTATTTTTTGTTTTTTTTGCTTTTGTTTCTCTCTCATCCTCCTCTACTCTTCTTTCTTTATTTATTTATTTATTATTTATTTATTTATTTATTTATTTATTTTTTTATTTATTTTTTTTTTTTTTTATGTAGGTGATGGCAACGACCCTGAAAGTAATACAAAAACTCCTAAAGACAGGTACACACAAACCCTAAACCCTAAACCCTAAACCCTAAACCCTAAACCCTAGACCCTAAACCCTAGACCCTAAACCCTAAACCCTAAACCCTAAACCCTAAACCCTAAACCCTAAATTATAAGCGCGAAGGTGAGATACATCAATACACACAAAGGGGGGTTTATATTGCTTATATATTTATTTATATTTATTTACTTATATATTTATATTTATTTATTTGTTTATATTTATTTATTTATTTATATTTATTTATTTATATTTATTTATTTATTTATATTTATTTATTTGTTTATATTTATTTATTTTTTTATTTATCTATATTTATATATTTATATATTTTTTATTTAATTTATATTTATTTATTTATTCACAACTACACACATTTATATTCATTAATATACATTTATATATATATATATTTACATTTATATATATATATATATATATATATATATATATATATATATATATATATATGTATATATATATATGTATA